GTTCTCACTCTCGCCGTGGTGCTTCCACACCTGCTGTTATTGTTGCTCGCTCTTCTAGTGCCGAGCCCCTCTCTTCGTCCTCCTCTAGAAAGAAGCCCAACAAGTTCAAGTTCCTAATGACTTACATGTTTGGACAGTGTTGTGCTAGTGCTCAACGTGAGCACGATATGCAAGAGAGGCTATATCGGTTGGAACAGCAAGCAGGCATTGTATCTTCTCCTCTGCCGCCGTTTGTGCCTCCCCGTGATCCGTTGGCTTTGTATGATGAGGCTTGTGCGGCGTACGAAGATGATGCGACTTCTCGTCCACATGGCAAAGGGAAGGCGACTGAAGAGGATGAGGAATACATCGAGGACGATGATGATGAAGACGACAACGGTGGTGAGGACGGTGACCAAGATGAGGATGATGACTACGACAATGAGTAGTTGGATATTCACGCGGCCTACCCCTTTTGGCACTTGTTGACAAAGGGGGAGTGTTAGGCTTTGATTCCTCTTTGTAATAAGTTAGTTGGTCTTTATGTTTCGGAACTTTAAAACCCTTAGCGTGCATGAACTATGCCGTGTGGTGGCAAGCTTGTGATAAACAACTATTTGTGATGAATGATTGTAGGACAAGTTATGGTCATCTATTTATCTTATTAGCTTATACTTGTCTCTACTTATGATGGTGAATGCATTTTGGATGGCCATGTGTTGCTTCAAATTCTATTTTAAAATCTTGGCTATCATTTTCTCTTTTACTTGTTGTGTGAAATAACATGTCATATTGCATTTCTTTTCACGGCTATATATTTGTTCACACACACTTGTTGCACCCCACAGATAGCAAAATTTAGGGGGAGCTTTTGTCTTGAGGTATGCAAATCATGTATAAATGATTCTAATTTATATTCAAATTCATGCATACATCAAGGGGGAGCTCTTCATAAATTTTGGGGTTCAAAAGTTTTAAAATCTTTCATTATTATAAAAGCCTAAGTTGGTTGTCATCAATTACCAAAAAGAGGGAGATTGAAAGTGCATTTGCCCCCTATGTGGGTTTTGGTGTATTGATGACATCCAAATTAGGGACTAATGTAATCTTAATAAGATATGTCGCAGCTATTAGTCCTGTGAAAGAATCAAAGAGTTCATAAAGAAGAAATGGTATCCCTCAATTTTTGAAGTTGTAAAGGTGGACGGACTCAAAGCTCTCTCCAGAGGTTTTATTTTTGCTTTTGAGTTTAGGATCTGCCGCACTATAAAGAGGGATGCAATTTTAGTTGGTCTGAGGAAGATAGAATGCTCAAGCATAATATTTAAATCAAAAGAGAGACACTCTAGCACTTCACGAGCACATAAAATAATTTTCTGTGACTGTCGGTGTCGGAAGTCCCGATGTAAGCCGGAACTCCCGACAGTCGGAAGTCACGACTCTTGCCGGAAGTTCTGACTCCTAGTCACTTAGCCTGCGCTATGACTGTGGACGTCGAAAGTCCCAACGTGAGTCAGAACTCTCGACAGTCGAAAGTCCCGACCCAAGCCGGGAGTCCCGGCATCGGTGGTTCTGCTGGCCTGCTGTCTGTGCTCGTCGAAACTCTCGACGTACGTCGGAAGTTCCGACCGTCGGAAGTCCCGACCCATGTCGGGAGTCCCGATACCTGTTGCGGGCTAGCTGGATGTTTAACTGCGCAGGTCGGAAGTCCCGACGTTCGTCGAAAGTTCCGACCGTCGGAAGTCCCGACGTTTGCCGGGAGTTCCGACACTGACCTGCACGCGCGGACTTCCGGCCCTATGTGAACAATGTTTTATGTTAACGTCAGAAGTCTCGAGATCTGCGTCGGAACTTTCGACGTAGATCTGAACGGTTATATTTTCACTTGGAGTATAAATACCCCTCTCTTCACTTCTAACCGTTACGGACTCATAAACAGCTAACCCACTTCGTGCTCAACAGCTCCCAAGCAACTAAAGCTCCCCTCTCCTTCCCCCTTGCTCTAATCTTCGATTCCCTTAGGGTTTTGAGTGAAAGGAGAGTGGATTAAGTGAGAGCATCACTTTGAAAGCTTGAGCACTTGATTTCTTCGTCAAGCCGGTTGATTTTGCGTCTATTACTCTTGGGGCTTTGCCCTTAGCGACTAGGCGTTGCCCAAGCGCTTCCATCTTGTGGAAGGGCTTTGGGAAGTTTGTATCACCCTTCGATTTCTTAGTGGAAAGCTCAAGTGACCTTTGTGGTCGCTTTGAGAGAGGCAAGGAGGTGGAATAGACTCCGACCTTGGTGGTCACCTCAACAACGAGGACATAGAAGCTCCTTTGTGGGGTTGCCGAACCTCGGGATAAATCCTTGTGTCCCACGTGCTTGTTGTTGTTATTGTGTTTGCTTGAGATTACTTGTATGTGTTTGTCTCTTTGTCTTCCAAATCTCTATTTTAGGGTTTGGATTCGATCTACGGTTTGGAGGTATTACAACGTCAAGGAAGTGACCCAACATCTTCACCAAACCACTAGGAAGTGAGGTTGTAAGATTATTTATCCGTAAAGTTAAATTTGGCACTGCTTTTGTAGTTCACGTAGGCGTCGGAACTGCTGACGTTTGCGCCGGAACTTCTGACAACGTCGAGAGTTCCGACCCAAACGCCGGGACTTCCGACAGTGACTGACAGATTTGAACTTAGCATTTGCCGTAAATTTTTAGATACGCCTATTCACCCTTCCTCTAGGCATTGTTAGATCCTTTCACAAACCCCCTCTTTGCCGAGTGTTTTTTTCGACACTCAGCAAACCTCCTCTTTACCGAGTGTTTTTTTTGCCGAGTGTTTTTAGTGCAGCATTCGGCAAAGAACTTGTTTGCCGAGTGCCCGAGAGAATACACTCGGCAAACATAAAAACACTCGGCAAATTTGACGTTTCTAGTAGTGAAAAGGATACCCTAAGCTGGTCTCTAAAGATTTCCAGAACTTGCGGAGAGTCTGAAGAGTTTGGAACTTGAATCCCAATAAGGTTCTAGCAAGATTTAGCAAGCTAACAATAAAGGAACAAGTGTTCGACCGTTTCCTCGCATGAGTCATTGTAGAGAACACTGCATATTCTTTCTTCTCACGATGTTTTTTGTGCTAAGCCTATCTTGAACAAGCAACCAAAAGAAGACTTTGATATGGAAACCTAGCTTGGAGGATAAAACAGTGTAGACACTTGATGTATCACAAGGACTCTGATCTGACATGGCGATAAATCCACGGATAGATATCTATATGATATAAATAGCTAGATAGTGTATGAGGATAATAATCAACACCACATTGCTTAGGAAACCATAGACACATATTATAGTAACTCTTTTCCTTCAAGATAATACAAGAAATAAGCATTGACATTCACTGATACGTGGGGCTATTATCCGAACAGGGGGCTGAACCAGGATAAAATCCACGTCTGTTCTTTTATTGCTGACCTTTATTGATATGTGGATTCCTACTAAACCACAATTTCTGCCGGAACAAAGCATTGCCATTTAATTTATAATGTCATGTCACTTCTCTAACTAAGGAAACTTACTCGTTGGATCATATGAAAAATACATCAAACCCATGGATTTTGACAGCAATCAAGTCCTCTGACAATTACACTACAACTACGAAAGGCTTTATTTTGGAGTTATTAGTGCTAGATTATTGCAATGTTTGCATTATTAGTGCTAGATTATGAATTGAGAAGTAAAGAGATACTCCATAGATATCAAAAATAAATGACCCATGAATTTGTTAGTTGAGGGCGTGCTCCTATGGTATCAAAATTAATTTAGTCATATCCATGTTGCCTGCATGTTGGTTCAACGATTCCTGATTATTAATTTTCTTCATAGCTCAAGTTTGATGCATTATTCATAGTTTATTCAAGATTTCTAAACATTTATTTTTGCTATATACAACTTTGTTTTAATGCAATACTATGGATTTGATTGAGGATACTTGACATTAATATGCACTCCGGCTCTACATAATGTGTCCTATAAATAGAGGTGCACAGTGCAAACATGGCTCACAACATAAGCTATATATGTGCTAGAAAAGAAGTTATAGTTGGTCCTTGTATCATCAACGCTCGCTGTAGTGGTATATGATGTCTCCAAAAGTAATGCTTCAACTCCTGGTTTTTTCTTAAGTCTTTACCATGTTTACGGCTCATCGAGCTTTGGGTGAGAAAGACTGTTATCATGAGAGGGATTTGGTTAAGCATGAGTGCATCAAAACCATCCTAATTAATCAGCCCTACACCCCTCCAACCCCTTAGTGCGTTCGTGCTATCAAACTATCTGACATTGTTTGCATTTACCATATTCTCACCCCTGCAGACGAGAGCGAAATAAGCGTACGTAAGTTTCTTCGTCTTGCAGGGGAGTACAACAGACCAGTGCCACCAGCGGGAAGGAATTGTGGATGTAAGTATTTGATAGTATGCATGTTCTTATTGTTAGAAAAATGTTTAGTACAATATAGATGTGAAATTTGATATGATTTTTTTTTCTCAGCTCAAACCGTTGGACATTGACCCTGTACTTCATGATACAGAAACCCGGTGCGTAAATGTGGGAAGTAAATGTGGATGTAAGTATTTGATAGTATTCATGTTCTTATTATTACAAAAATGTTTGGTACAATATAGATGTGAAATCTGATATGAACTTTGTTTCTTAGCTCAAACCGTTGGACATTGACTATATATCCCTCACTACCAAGGGCAGATCTGTGGGACTTCATGATACAGAAACCCAAGGAAGAATAAAAAAATAACCCTGTACTTTGTTTGCTTTCATGCCATGCTTTATTCATGGCAAAGTAATGAATAAAAATGTCATAAGTATTTCTACTTTATAGGTGGATGTACATTGGTCCAGCAAAATATGTCACTTTGCCTTTTCACAAGTCAAATATTTTTAATTTTGAACGAATTTATCAAAAAAAAGTACATAACATCTAAACATAAAATTAATTCCATAACCACCATAAATTAATTCCATTACCTCCGACCAGATCCGGACGCCTTGTCCGCGCACGCGCGCTCCAGCTCGGCGGCAACCCATCTCGCGTTCATCCCGCGTTCCCGGCGCCGACGACGCCTCCTCTCCACCAGTGTCACCGGCATCTCGGAGTCGATCACCCTGAACACCGTCACGGTGACAGGACAGCCGCCCGCTCCTATGCCGTCGGCTTGCACGATGCAGAACATGCTTCTCCCGAGGTAGACTAGCTTGGCGCTCCGCGTCGCCCCGCCGCGCGCGCGCGGCGTGATCACCGGTATGGGGTCCGACACCCGGTGCGTCTTCTGCTCCAGTCTGGGAGCAACGCCCGAGCCCAGGACGACGTCGAGTTCGTGCGCGCGCAGACGCCCGTCGTTCGGCGACACCTCGAACCACAGGTCGTGGTCCTTGGCGTACACGGCGCGCTCTTCCCACGGCAGCCGCGCCGACCCGGGCAGCGCGATCCACGCCGCACCGCCCCGGCGGCGGCCGTCGAGGAGGAACGTCTCGCCTTTCTCCGTCGAGGCTAGGAGGCCGCGGCGCAGCGGGTACGCGGCGAGCGTCAGGATGCGATCGCGGAACGGAGGCCGCGGCAGGGATGTCCACCCGACGCGCTCGTCTCTCGCCGCCGCCGCCGCCGCCGAGCGAAGGACGACGCACCGCGGATCCTCGGTGAGCATGTCAGCGGCGTAGATCTTGCCGGAGACCTCGACGAGGCCGTACTAGGTCGATGGCGGTGGAGGGCCGGTGGACACTTCCCACGTGCTCGCGTCGATGATGGCGCTCTCGGCTTCGACGACGCCGGCGTTTCTGTCAGTGACGCCCACGACCGTCGATCTGGCCTTGAGAAAAGCCATGCCCGGAGCCGCCTTGAAGCGCAAAACGGGCGGTTCTTCGAATTCTTCACTGGAGACCGAGATGCCGTGCTGGGAGCGCGCCAAGTCGACGCGGTGCACGGCGTACGTGGAGACAACGCCGTGGCCGTGGCCTTGGCCGTGCTCCTGCATGACTAGATAAAAGCGCCTTCTTCCTCTTGCGGCCACCGTCGTCGCGGACGCGCTCCGTAGGCGATTGGGGTTCGTCGGCCGGCTCCGACGACGTACTCGACCGGAACAAGGTCGGCTGAGACGGCGGTGGTGTCCCGGGCCGCGGGACCACCGAAGACCACCGTGAGGCCGCCTGGCCGCGCAGCCTACCGGACCGCCTGGCAGCGATAATGCCGATAAGGCTAACCTTGGGCACGGAAGGCGATCTCCCCGTCGGCCACGGGAGCTGGCGCTTCGCCAGCGGTGCAGGTGGCTCACTGGACCTAGATCGTGACCGCTTCAGCGCCATCACGCCTTGCGCGAACTTGGTTGTTGAATGTTGACTAGTCCACCACACGTGGGATCGCGCGCGCCGGCAAATCACTTGGTTAAGGCATAAAAAAAAATATATTTAATTTTTGCATAGAAATAATATTATGAGTCTAATGTAAATATGTCAGGTACAAAAAAACAAAAGATTGGAGCACAATAATTAGCATACCTCGAGCCTCATCATACACCTGCAAGCAGAACTGTATGTATCATAAATAGGAACTCATCAATAGGATAACAGCCATGTCGTGTTCTAAGTGATCTGGCACGTTGATTTCGATAGAGAGAGATATGTAAAAATAATTTGGAAATCAGCGTATCCACCTTGTAAGCTACTCTCTCCATTGTAAATTATAAGACGTTTTTGCTTTTTAGATACATAGATAGTAGATACATGACAAAAGCAATTTATGTAGAAAGGACAAAATGTCTGCATGTTTGTAACTCAAATATCAGTTAAGCTAAAGCGAAATAATTAACATGATGCTGACCACATCACAAGCAGCCCAGGTTGGAATGTAGTGCTTTATAACATGAACATCTTTCCCTTTAGCGATAAAGAATTGGCCTTGTAAAAAAATAGTGTTAAAGAACTCGATAAATAAGCAGTGAATTTTGGCAGGGCATTCTTCCAATTTGGGGTAAAGGATCAAGCTATGGAATGTAATACAAGACAAAAGCAGAAACCTAAAATGAGCCGGAGATGCTTTTGTCATCCTAAATGAAGTTTACTGAGGATTTAGTCTTCGAGCCACAACTAATATCCTATTTCAATTCAATTATGCGATCCATGCAAGTTAACAAATACTAGATTAATCTCTTAAGAACTCTAGCTACAGTGGGCCTGATCGGCTGCAGCCGACCAGGTTAAGAGTATAGGTTATTAGGCTTGTCTGTGTATTTTACTCATATGATTGGTCAGCACAATACATACAAACATATCATATTGCCTAAGAAGAATAGCTGATAAGTGCCTCGGTGGTGCAGCTTGCCAAAAGTTTATTATCTAGCAGGATGCAGCTCCCTCGGTTGCCAATAGCATACTGCTTAGGCAACTGCTAACCTAACACTGCTTTCAACAGTGGTTTCTCACAACTGAATCATTCTCCAGAGCCATAGTATCTGCTCCAAAGTCAAGGCAATAAATCTGACCAGCATGCTTATCAGCATTTCTGTACTTCAAGCTGTATTCTGAGATGAAGTCATCGCATGTTTTGTTTAGTCAAGGTGCTGTTGCTTCCTCTTCTTGCAAAGCGAATGGACTGAGCAGGAGATAGATGAAGCCATCGCACGGCTTATGTCTGGCAGACCAATGTTGCTATTGGACAGATCTTAAGTTAAGACATAGGGAATCTTCATTTGAATAAGCAAAGAATAAGGAACTATACATTCTTTTTTGTTCTATGCACAAATTAAGAAATTGTGAGTTCCTATAAGACAGCCTAAAACACAGCTCATTGTACAGGTTGTCTGATAAGTAGACTCAATATTACATAGAGACCGCCTATAAGACAACACCAATGCTGCACATATGTTGCACAGATACAGAATGATAATTGGACACTGTCTAACACCAAAACAGAATGATTTTCGACCTCCTGTGTTGTGTGGCAGTCAAACCAAACTCATTGAACTTACCAGCTTTGCATGGCAAATGGAGATCTAATAAGCCCTAGCACTAGCATTTTATCATACTACAGCACTAGCACTACGCCATGTTATCCAGATCCTACCACAGTGAACTATTCTCTGCCAGGCTTGTTTGTGTACATAGTTAATGTTTATCACAATTGTTGCACATCTAATTAAATACTCCCTCCGATAGTCCGATCCCAAATTTAAGTACACTTAACATTCTTCCAAATGCACCAAGAGTCCATGATAACTCTAGTGCACCTCCTAGCTTCATCTTCCATGTCTACCCCTACCTAAAATGCATACTAATCCATGCAACACACTTTCCACTTATCTTAACTATAGCAAAGATAGATGTGCAATATAGTCACTGTACCACTCAACTTAATTCTTATGCCCAAGGCCAACTGGACTCATAATGGGGATTTTAGGGACTAGGGAGCATGCTTTAATTTCCACACTAAGGATACAACTGAAATGGAACTTGCAATTCTGATTCTAAAAAAGGGTAAACATCTGGAATGTTCAGGATAAACAGATATTCTAGTGGATCACAAAATCACACAGATGGCATATCATATCATGCTTCTCAGCTACTGAACTCAAATCAAATTCAAAAGATTTGCACAACAATTATTTGCAGATACCAAATTTTGTATAGCACCTCATAAAAGCTACAGTAAAGATAAAGGTGCAATAACATACCGATTCCTTCTTGCTGTTTTGCTTTTCCTCCAAGTCTTTGAGCGCCCGATCCATCCGCTTCCTGCAAAATAGCCAGTCCCACAAGCTCAGCACAACAACATGAAGGCACTGTGAGCTGATGAAACCACAAATGAGGCCAGCTGAAAGCGACTCACAGCTCTGCGGAGATGTACTCGATGCACTTCTTGACGTTGGCCTTGGCCTCCGCGGGGTCCTGCTTGACCAGGATCGGTCCGATGAGCTTGGACACGTTGGCCCCGTCACCGAGCAGCTCCAGCTCCTGCAAGCAAGCAGCCACAGCCACGAATCGAGTAAGCCACTGACGGCGAAGAAATCACCAAAACCTTGAGAGTTATTAAGAGGCGAGGAAGCTGCGCGGGGTGCGGTGCGTGCCTTGAGGACAATCTCGTTCTCGCCGACCTGGATGGTGTACTGCTTGCGGACCTAGTGATTCTTGGCGATGTCTGCGAAAGGAAGGAGCAGCGGAAGTCAGAGGAGAGAGAGGTAGATAGGGTTCGGAGGAGGCGGCGAGGGATTGGGGAGAGCGCGTGCCTTTCTGGATCTTGCTGAGGGCAGCCAGAGGTCGAAGACGACGGATCAGCCTTGAGCCCCCAAGGACGCAGTGGACGGGCCCCTTTGAGAGAGCGGAGTCACCAATGCCGAGATTGGCGGGGGCTCCTTCCCGTGCGAGGCCACGGAGGAGCGTAGCCGGCGAATGGAGGCCGGCGCAGGCGGAGGCGGACGGCGGAGCGGCAAGGCCACGAAAGCGACGGAGTTAGGGTTTGGCTGGCTGCAACAGCGGGGTCCACAGCGGCAAGGCAGGCCCTCCCGCCGTGGCAGGGTGGCCCGTACTGAGCCGGATCCGCCCTACGGGAGGCACCGCCGGGTAGGCGCAGGGCGGTGGTGGCTGCGGCCGCGCCCGTCAGCGCGACTGGGACGGAGAGGGAGAGCGGGAGGGAGCGGACGAGAGCGAGAGGGAGCGGACGAGAGCGAGAGGGAGCGACGAAGAGAGAGGAAGAAAGGGGGAGAAGCCGGGAAGGGGGATCGGAAGCAGCTGTATATATTTGGTGGGCTAGCTCCGAAGTAGAATCCGGACAGCAGCAGAGGGAAGCACGGAAAGGCGAAGAAGCAGGGCTAGAATCCGCTGCCGGCAAAATCCGTTTTAAGCAACGGTGACCATCCGATGGAAGATCCGACGGACGAGGCAATTTCGGGCGACATGGCCACGCTGGTTGGCGGCCAAACCTTCCCGGTTTGATAATAAGAGATACAATCTTGGTGCTGATTTTTACCTTCCAAGGGGACCCGTGCGGTGTGGGTGCGGCGTGATGGAAGGCAGCGCCCATCCGGACGACATATTGAGGGGCATGCTAGAGCTAGTTAACAGTTGTGACTAAAAATTAATCTTAACTAGTTAGGGTTAGCTAGTTATTTCTAGTTGACTAACTATTGAGGAGTTGGCTAAAAAAATAGCAAACCTATCGGTTCTTCTATTTGATGTCCTAAGCTAATTTTGATTAATTTTTAGCTAATTAATAATTAATCCTTTTGTCCTTTATCAAATATAGGTCCTAAAGGTCTGTTTGCACTTTTACCCTGTCCTAACTCACCTCATCTGTATGTGCAAAACAAAGCCTGTTTGGTTGCATCCCTCCACTATTCTAACTTGACTCGACCCATGCAGAGGTATATGGGTCTGAATCTGGTTCGATGGGGACCGACCGAAACAAGGTTCACTACGAAGCATGGCTCGATGGATGCAGGTTATAGAGGATGGACCCACATGTGACACGTCAGCCTCACCTTTTAGATAAGTTATATCCGCTCTGTAAGCAACTAAGCATCTCAAATTATTTGCATCATCTCATGCAACCTCACAATACGTTTTTCTTCTTCTTGTAAATACAGTTCTACCTAGTCCGCGTCCACTCGTTAGAAATATGAAGGCACGCCGAATAGGCGGCCTCCCAGGGTGTCTATGGATGTTTTATTTAGTTGGTGCATTAGATATAAATTCCACGATTTAGATGAAGTGTGTCATAACCAGCCTTCCTCCATGCATTCAGCAGTGAATAGATGAAGCAAGTGGACACATTCAATGAAGTAGATAAAAAATTGAATGACCATGCATGCAAGGACAATATAAACTGTAGATGTACTTTGCATGCAAAAAGTTACTACAGTAGGAGAATTTACATCACTGTGTTTTCACGTGTCCTTTACATATAAAAGTTACTATGACAGAAGGAATTTACATCATATGTGCCTTCTCCTTTTACATTAATGAATTTACTATCAATAGATACTATGCAGTAAATTTGCATGCATGCACGAGTGCCTCCCTAAGCTATCCAGAAATTCACTCAATAAATTTGAAAGCACTGGACATCTTCACCTACGCAGGGTGGGTCAAAGGCAGGTGGACATATTTAATGCCTCCTCTCCATACTACATCATGTAAAAACAAGTTGGGTAGGTGGACACATTTAATGCATCTCCTCCTTATCATTAAATAAAAATAATTCACCAACCATATAGGAACGTTTATTATTACACATGCATCCATCATTTTTGTTTTGTTCTTTCCACATTCCAGCCCCGGGAATCCCGTCCCCAAACCTCGCCATCGTTCAATCGCCGGTGCCTTTTATATTCTTCACGCTACGGACTTCCCTGGCTGCAACGCCGCCAGCGGCTCTGCCCCCACCCCACCAGCGGCACTGCCCCCTTCCCTCCTTTCCGGTACTGACGCCGATGAGGGCCCCCTGCATCCGGCGGCGGCCACCCTCCCCGTCCCTCCCTCTGGTGATGAGGAGGATCCGTGCAGGGGCGCCGTGGATTTATCCCCTTCGAGCTCCGGCCTTCATCCTCCACCCCATCGATGGCATCAGCGGCCCTCACGCTGCCAATGGTGTCTCTGCGTCTGTGTGCCGTGGTTGGTGGTGGCACTGACGGGCGGATCCCCCCGCTTCCCTCGCAGGCGGCCGGACGCATCGGCGGCGGGTGGCCAGCGCTCCGAAGCTGCTCCTCCTCTTCTGCGATGGCGTGCCTAGGCCCGCGCGCTCGGCGTTCCCTGGTGGCGTTGTCTCCTCCAGCAGCGGTGTCATCGAATCTCGTTCTCAACCAGGACGGCATGGCTCCCCCGCGACTGGTAGTGGCCCTGCACGGCTGCACCACAACAGCGATGGCGTCGTCGTCCTGGTTCTCCCCCGGTAGCAAGATTCGGCGTCCTGGGTCTCTGGTGGCCAACGGAGGAGCAGATTCTGCCTTTTCTTTTTGCGAATAGCATCTCCCATCCTGGATCTGAAGAGCATCGGCTCTCTTCTCTCTCAACTGCTACTGATGTGCTTGATTTCAGAAATTTTCTTTTCATGATGAATCTGATTGATTTTTGTGCAAATGTGATGGATCTCACCTCTCTCGTTCAGGAACTGTGCCTACTGGTTTCTTGGATTTGAGATTATTTACAGTAGATGATTTTGATTGATTTTTTTTTACAAACTGAAGGATCCTTCGATTTTGCCAGATTTTGTATATATTGATGAATCTTTTAGATGCTACGTTTCCCTTTATTTTAAATGCTGTCGAGAAACGAATTTTGTAATATCAGTTTGCATATACAAATATTGATTTGTAAAATTTACTAGTTGAAAATATTTGATTAGCTATTTTTTTGTTCTGTTTTACGGTTTGCAAAAGTCAAATAATTAGTACCGAGCATCGTCTATAGGATTACTCCTATAAAAATCATCTTTACCCCTATTGCTACTACTCCCATTATTACTTAGTATTGCTCATTTAATTTAATAGTATGGTAAGAAACATTTAAAATAAGTAACTTGAATAAAAAAGAATTAATAGAGGAGTAAATAAAGTAGCTACACACGAATTTTACAGGAGATGATTTGACATTGCATTTGATTGATTTGATTTGTCATGCACAGTATTGCATGGTGGCAGTGCTTTTGCAGCATGCAAAGTGAAAACCAGCCTTTACGGTTAAAATCAGGTGCTCACTGCTATGAATGGGAAGCTATTGGCAGAGTGGTGAGGGTAGCGTTGGCCGTAGTATTTGTACGTTTGAGAGAAGGGAAGGCAGGAATAGACGTGAGAGTCTTACGGTTGCGCCTCCAGAGTGTAAACAGAAGAAAAAAAAGAATCTTACTACTAATTAGCCTGTTCGCTCGATTGTATCCCTACTTATTAGTTATTTTATAATATTTTTCTCTCATAACAAAACAGCATCAGCTGATTTATAAGCAAGAGAGATGAATACATTTAACTCTAGAGGGCAAACAAAAAAATTCTTAAGAATCTTACTACTAATGATTTCGACTTCAGAGGGCAGACAACCACCACATCTACCATGCACGCACCAACAACATCTTGTTACCTTTAACCACGCTAACTAGCCGTTGTCCATTTGCATGCACCATGCAAAGTTAGCACACAGGCACAAGCAAAGGCCTCAGCAGCATGCACGTGGTTCGTACTCAAATGCGTGCCGACCATCACGCTACGAGCCACCGGCCATACATGCCAAGCATCCACAACATTTGTACTTACACATGCATCCATGCATCTAAGAGACGGCTTGGGTTGCGTGCACGTTGCTACCGAGGTGATCGGTGGTTGGGGTTGGTCGCCATTAATACGGCTACCATACTTGCATCTCTACTCATGCATACAGAGGCGCCCGTTTCTCCTCCAACTCTTGCCTATATAAGCATATGACATCCATTGCTTCATCGCACCCCTCCTAGCCCTCCCAGTGTCGCCATGTGTCCTCCTTGTCGTTCATATACGAGGAATCAGTAGCTATGGCCTCAGGGGCACCCGTAGTGATGAGTCAACCCATCTCAGATAAAGGCAGCCACGCCAACTGAGTCAATGAGTCGACTCCTGGCCCAATAGTACCATAGGCTCCATGGCAAATTAAAAAATGATAAACAACGTGACCTTTGTATGTATCAGTATGTCTTTGGTCGACTCGCTGCAGCCTTGTGGCGGTTGCACTCGACGGCGACTGCTGGCCCGCTGCGACCAGATCCCGGTGGCCAGGGCCACGACCTGTGCCCGCACGGCCGGCCTCGTGCGACCAGTGACTCGCAGTGGGCCGCGCGCTTGCTGCGCTCGCTGCTCGCGCCCAGCGGGTGAAGGCCCCCATGCGGACCCTGTCCTCACGACCGACATCCCAACGCGACGTCGAGCCCACGACTGTCGGCCGTCGTAGCCTCGCGGCCCCGGCCCTCCCAAACTCTAGCACCTTCGACGACGACGGTGGTGGCTGGCGGGCACCCACCCGCGCCCAGCGGCTTTGCGCTCGTGGTGGCCAAGCACAACACCCGCGGTTGGGCCTCGCGCCTGGTGGCTGGCGGCCCCTCCTGTGGCAGCAGCCTTACGCTGTGGCAGCGGCCTTACGCCCGGCGACCAGGCTCTGCGGCACTCACGCAGTGTCTCACGGGTAGGCGCTCCTGTGCAGCCAGCGGCCTACGGTCAGCTCTCGGCAGCCTCTGCGCGGCCACCTGCGCCGGGCCCCACATGCCTGGCAGCCCGCGCCTGCGGCCTTGCGCCGCGACTGGCTTCCCCAGCCTTGCGCCTTGCTACGGCCCATAGCGGTGGCTAGACGTGAGTCTGGCGACTAGCTCCTCCTGCGCCACAGCCAGGTGCCCACCGCGCCGTGACTGGTGCCTCGCTGGTGCCCGTGACCGCATCGCGTCCCCGTGGTCGGCGGCCTTGCGGCAGGCGGCCTCCAAGCTGCGTGGCCGGCTAGCTCAATCTCCCTAGCGGCGGTGTCATCCTCATGGCCGAGCGGCCGAGCGATGGATTTCTCCCGAGGAGAAACCAACCGTGTGTTTGGATAAGGTTCTGTACTTTTGCAGAAAAGGCCTTGCATTTTCTGAATAATTATCCTTCTAGATAATTATGTACTATACCTTTAAATGTTTTAGCCCACAGTATAAAACGTTAATCGTAGATCTTATTATCTGTACTTTACAATGTAGTCTTCGGGCTACAATATATTTCACTATGCTTTATTTGCCGCATGCAAATATATATTCTGGATCCTAAGATCTTTAGGAAATTGCACAAGTGATATATTTGTTTGCTTTTGAGCCCTCAGTTCAGTGTAAATTTTAAATTTACAAGCAAATAAAATTATTGTTCGGAAATTATTCCAGACTAGAATTTGTACTGTTCAAGGAGTTTGCTTTGCGTTCTCAATAACAAGTACAACTATTGTTACATTGTTCAAAGTGTTTGCCCATGGCAATTCTCAATAACATGTAACTGATGTGTTGAATATATTGTTCAGTTGGTTGTCATATGGCATTTCCAATAACAA